CGCGTTCTAAGGAAAACTAGTAGGGTATGGTTTTACTATGAGCCATGTGAGGGTAAACTCTATGCCTGATAAAAGGCGTCAGAAGTCAACTCTTGTACTTTTCTGAGTTTCTGAGTGAAAAAAGAACTGGGTTTACTCTCAACACAGTTTGACATCTCAAACATCTGTTTCGAAGACCTCCTTATTAACTTATTAAAACATTAATTCTGGATTCCTTTCTTACCACAACCCAAGAGGTGTCCAGTTGTCTTGGCATCTCTTGACGCACTAACATCAAATCAAGATTAGTTGTTCACGATAAATTCCTACTTACAATTGTCTTAATCAATCTTATCTACATAGCTAACTTAAATCTCCAACAACATAGACGCCGGTAAGGAGACCAAGCCGGTCCCTATCACAGACGCCGGTAAGGAGACCAAGCCGGTCCCCATCATAGATGCCGGTAAGGAGACCAAGCCGGCCTCCAACAACACAGTAACTACCGAGCCGGCCTCCAACAACACAGTAACCACCGAGCCGGCCTCCAACAACACAGTAACCACCGAGCCGGCCTCCAACACAGTAGAAGTGTGGGTGCTGGTGGTGCTGGAGGTGCTGCTGGTGGTGGAGCTGGTGGTGGTGATAGCTGTAGCAGACTACATGCACCACTCGTGGACGAATCAAACCTAATGTAAGCATATTCCTCTCAATACTTTCCAATCCTGGAATCTTTGAATCATGTATTGGTTCCGGAATCTAAGTTAGATTAGGATGTGATCAATGAGGCTGTTCGTGCTCGTGGCAGTCCTCAGTTGACAATAAAACCTGGCTGATCAGGGGCACAAAGCGTCCTAGATCAGTCAAGCTGTGTCAGCTTATAAAGCCTGAAACAACTGACAAACATAAAAGAACATAAATAAATAGGAATCTCCAGAGGGCATATTGGTCCATGTTAGGAAGCTCCTATTTACATCCAGCTATTCCCACTGGTAATTATCCAACCACAGCTACTCCACCTTTGGTGTGGCAAGAGTCAGGCTCAGGGGTGACAGAGTGGCTAGGGTGACAGGGGGAGACAGACAGAAGCACCGAGTAGGAAGGTTGACAGAGAAGGCGCGGGTGGTAGTTAATAGTTAACGTCACCAGGATAGTTACTATCTTGCCTCAAAAAGAATACACAGTTGAAAGAAATCAAAGTGTGATCTCTTTCTTTGTTCTTTGCAGCTTTCCCTCTGCGACTGTCTGGTTGAGTGCCTCCTGCAGCTGCGCCTCCGTCACCACGCAGCGGGGCGCCTCTGCCGGATGGTCTCCAGGATAACATCTACGAGGAGTGGCAGGAGTGGCAGGAGTGGCCGGCTATCGCCACACCAGCACCAACAAGGATAAACACACACAAGGATAACATCCAGAAACTAAAAATGGGGATGTTTCAAGTAAACTAAAATCAAATGAAATCTTTAGTATGTAAATAACTAAATAGAACACCCGGCGGTACCCGGGTCTCTCTCTCCCTCCTTCCCCGCTCCCCCTTCTCATCTCTCATCTCCCTTTCCCTAGCCTCCAATCTACCCCTCTCCCTCCCCCTCTCTAACTTTCTCTCCTATTCTCCCCATATTCTCTCCCTCCCTATTCCTCTTTAATTCTGGTGACTATGACAAGCCGATGTTCATCCCGTACCCCAGACCATTCCCCATGCAAAGTTGGGTGAGGATAATCACAAGCAACTGGCCTCGAACCTTGGAGTGACAGACAGACAGACATTCTCTCTTAGATATAAAGTGTAGACATAAATGGTTATATTTACAAAACACACGTACATTAAAGTTTTACTCAAGGAAAGTAATGCAAACATTCAAATTTGTATTATAATAATACATTATATATTATAAAACTTGTAATTGTATTATGTCTCGACTGAATAAATAAAAAACTCAGGCAAATGTGTCTCTTATTTTATATTCACAAGTGTGGGTGTGTTGGGTCTAATTTTCAGCCCCGTTATTATGACTTACTGTCTGCAATACTAGGAAAATTACTAGTTACGATACTAGCAACATTACTAGTTACGATACTAGCAACATTACTAGTTACGATACTAGCAACATTACTAGTTACGATACTAGCAACATTACTAGTTACGATACTAGCAACATTACTAGTTACGATACTAGCAACATTACTAGTTACGATACTAGCAACATTACTAGTTACGATACTAGCAACATTACTAGTTACGATACTAGCAACATTACTAGTTACGATACTAGCAACATTACTAGTTACGATACTAGCAACATTACTAGTTACGATACTAGCAACATTACTAGTTACGATACTAGCAACATTACTAGTTACGATACTAGCAACATTACTAGTTACGATACTAGCAACATTACTAGTTACGATACTAGCAACATTACTAGTTACGATACTAGCAACATTACTAGTTACGATACTAGCAACATTACAGGTACTGTAAATGTACTAGCAACATTTATAGTTAGGCTGCCACAGTAACACAGCAAGAACCGTTTAGAGAGTGTGTATGTGTGTGTGTGTGTGTGTGTATGTGTGTGCTGGGAAAAACACACGTGAAGCGGATTTCCACCCAAGATAATAACACACAAAGTCAACCAGATAAGGAAAAAGAGAAGATGACATTCTGAGGAGGAGAGACCTGGTCACTGTACGTTGGGGCGACGGTGTGGACGTGTGGATAGTGAACGACGTACAAGCGTTGTCCAGTACACGTCTGGACGTCCAGTAGACAAGCCAGGATAGTTGGATGAACATCTGGATATTACAGGTGACGTCTGGATACAAATTTCGTGTATTATTCGGGATGTGAATGTCTGGATAGCGTAGTGGTATAACGAATCGGACAACTGGATAAAGAAGAGGTCTCAGGATTACCAACGGGAAGGTCGCACAGTGAAGTGGATCAAGAATGCTTAGTGAATTTTACTTCAAGAAAGTGAACACCCTGTGTAGTCAACTGGACTTTTGTGTTTGACAAATAAATAAGGAAAAGGCAATACCCGATAATTATAGTGAAGGTGACGACAACGACAGTGAAATGGGCAAGAAAGTGATTCTGACCGTGATTGGTCTCTCTTTTCTTCTGAAGTTTACCACTAGTGAAGGTAAGAGAGAGAGAGAGAGAGAGAGAGAGAGAGATAGAGGAAATAAAATGTGGATAGGGGTAGAGGACGAGAGGAAAAGAGGGGGTGAAAGGTGGAAAGGGAGTAAGAGCGGAGAAGAATGGGAAGAGGCGCAAGAATGTGGCGACTGGGAGAGACGGTGGAGAGGGGAACATCTAGAATATCAAAATAATTATCTTTGCCTCTGTCCGTCTCCGTATATCACGCACTCTCTTACTCTCCCTCTGCTTTGTCTATCTCTCTGTCTAAGTTTCTCTCATTACCTCTGTCTAAGTTTCTCTCATTACCTCTGTCTCTTTCTCCAAATTAATTGCCAAGCTCCAGGACAATCGTACCAGCAGGTCTGAAGGGTGTAAACACAGGACATTAATATAATTTTGAGTTGATATTCTACCACAGACGCGGCCATTCACTTATACAATAACTAAGAATAATGTAGAGTAAGAGGTCATGACCCGGCGGGAGTAATGATCAAACTCACCGGACAATACAACCACTGACTTTTTCCTCCATTTTGAAAACCTTGCTTCATCGTCTTGTTGTGATTTTGTGTCTTCTGTTGAAGAAGACACAAGATGACCCATGTTGCCTCCTCCAGGGAGCTGTGAGCCGCCCCGTCGAGGTCAACACCTTTACTACAACGTAACATCTGACCCAGACTTCCGACTGTGGCTGAAGATGGAGGAGAAGAACACTAATCTTAAAACAAGTCTTTTACTGGACTCCGGCACAGCTCCAGTTCCTAAGTTCCAGATGTTTGTGTGGTCCAACACGGACGTCTACAAAGGTTTCTCCAATAAACTCATTATGGTAAGTCATGTCAACAGCATAACACAGAGGTGAGTTACAGGTGTCCTGGCTGGTCAGCTGAGAGCTCCAGTAGTTCCCACACCTGTAATCCATCCTACAACATATTTCATACTTCAGATGTCACCTGTAAACATATTTCACCATATAGCATAAAGCTTTACATGCAACATATTAGGCAGTATATATATGACGGATAGAACAAAACTTTAAGATTGTTTAACGTAATTAAATAACTGGTTTTATTTTAGGATGTTTACAACAACTCAATATTATATTACAAATAACTGTTCTCGATGACTTTTTCGTCATTTTATTACCTCAGACAGAATTTGGAATTACTGGTAAAAACATAAGTCACGTCACTATTGGGGCCAACGCTAGTATGGAATGGATCTACTGTACGAATTCCTTCACTTTCCGTAAGTTGAGATGCTCACTTCCTTTATGTTCCTTCCTTTATGCTATATGTTCCTCCTTTTCTAACACTAATCACATCAGATTGTCCTAACAGACATATTGATATTTAAAACATCTGTTTTAGAACCGTCTTATTAACATAAATACCGAATACCGTTCTTAACACAGCCACTTCGTCACTTTCAAGACTTGACCCGACACTTTTACATCAATCAAACGAATCATAATTCAAAGTCTCAGAGTTTATAGTTAAAATGTGTCCCCTGAACCTCACACACCTTCCAAGCCCTCTCCCAACACCTCACACGACTCTGCTTATAACATGGAGGCGATAAATTAACGGTTCAGTCAATCCTGTTCTTTATGATATGAATGATCAGGTTAGCGTATATAAAGACGTTGGCTTGATCAAGGCAATTACACGTATGAACTTGTAATTGTGTTAATCAAGTCACCATCCTTATATACACATATACGTCCCCAGCCGCACCCAACAACCCAAATGCATCCAGTGTTCCGGCCTCCGACAACAAAGTGATGACGGTTGTGGTGGTGGTGGTGGTGGTACTGGTGATGGTGCTGCTGGTGGTGGTGGTGATGCTGGCAGCTGCCGGAGCCTACATACACCGCCTCGGGAAGACTCATAATAAATGTAAGAAATTTCCTATGTTAACTCCAGTGTTCAAGTGCCAGTTTGCCTTTAAATTTCATGCGATAGTTCAGGTAATTAACAAGGGTTTTCGGGATGGTGATCTGGTTAATAAAGCTGTTTGTGTCGAGAGTCAGGAACATGACGTAGGCACCAAACGTTAGCTGGCAGTGTGCCTCATCACACTAATTGTGGCACCTCTGTACACAAATATGGTACATCAAAAATGGAATAAAACATAAATTAACATTGAGTCTAAGTGACTTCACTACACATATTACACCCAAACATAGAGTCTTAATCAAGCTTATTTACATGACAAATTTACATCCCCAGCCACCAAGCCGGTCGTCAACAAAGAACAAGTGGCAGTGTTGGTGGTGCTGGTGCTGCTGCTGGTGGGGGAGCTGGTGGTGGTGGTGATTACTCTTGTCTAACCTCCATCCACCACTCCAGGACGACTCAACCTTAATGTAAGCATATTCCTCTCAATATTTACCATTCCTGGAGTCTTTGTGTCTATCATGTATTGGATCCGGTATTTAACTAGTGTCTTCAGGATCATTATCTGATCAATGAAGCTGTTGGTGTCCATAGTCGTCCTCAGTTGGCCTTGTTGTTCAGGGACAAAACTGTCCATGATCAGCCAAGCTGTGTCAGCTTACAGAACCTGTGGTAACTGACACACGTAAGAACACAAGGAAATAACAATCTCCTGAAGGCATATTGGTAGAAGTAGGAAAGTTGTGTTATCAAAGACGACTTGAGTGGTAGTTAGTAGTTACTGTCACCAGGGTAGTTACTATCTTGCCTCAGATGGTCATATAAGAACTCAAACAATACATATTAAACAAATCAAAGTTTGTACTAAATTTTTGCCGCCCATCCACTTGGGCTGGACGGTAGAGTGACGGCCTCGCTTCATGCAGGTCGGGGTTCAATCCCCCCACCGTCCAAGTGGTTGGGCACCATTCCTTTCCCCCGTCCCATCCCAAGTCCTTATCCTGACCCCTTCCAATTGTTATATAGTCGTAATGGTTTGGCGCTTTCTCCTAATAGTTATCGTTCCTTTCCATATTTTTGTGCAGCTTTCACTGAGTGACTGTCTGGTTGTCTGCCTCCTGCAGCTGCGCCTCCGTCACCACGCAGCGGGCCGCCCCTGCAGGATGGTCTCCAGGATAACATCTACGAGGAGTGGCAGGAGCGGCCAGCTATCGCCACAGCTGCACCAGCAAGGATAAACACACACAAGGATAACATCCAGAAACTAAAAATGGAGATGTTTCAAGTAAACTAAAATCAAACGAAGTCTTTATTATGTAAATAACTAAATAGGGCACCCGGCGGTACCCGGGTCTCTCTCTCCCTCCTTCCCCGCTCCCCCTTCCAATCTCTCATCTCCCTTTCCCTATCCCCCAATCTTCCCCTCTCCCTCTCTAACTTTCTCTCCTCTTCTCTCCCTTCCTCTCCTCTAACCCCTTTGAAATCTGTTCGACCTTTCTCTCCATCTCACACTTCTCACCCCTCTGCACCCTCTCTCTCTCTCTCTCACCTCTCCACCTATCTCCCATTCTCTTCCTCCCTCTCTTCAAATAACCCCCCCCCCCCACCCTCCCACCGTTTTCTTCTCTCTCTCCAATCCCAACCATTCTCCACCCTTATCTTTCCTTATCCTACTTATCTCTGTCTCTGTTTGTTTCTAATATACAAATATAATAGTTACTCTATTTGCATTGAGAAAGGGGCGGGGCTTGAGAAAGCTTTCCAAGCTGTGGGAGGATCTTTTGTTTTATGCTACTACGACAAAAATATGAATAGCAGAAATGCTCATTTTATCGAAGGTATTGAATAATATATTACTATATAAAATCGTCGTGGGGGTCAGACTGTGACTCGCATGCTGCTTCCTCTTTAATTCTGGAGACTCCGACAAGCCTATGTTAATCCCGTACCTCGGACCATTCCCCATGCACAGTTGGGTGAGGATAATCCCAAGCAACTGGCCTCGAACCTCGGAGTGAGAGACAGACATTCTCTCTTAAATATAGATTGCAGACATATATGGTTATATTTACAAAATACAAAAACATAAAAGATTTACTCAAGGAAAATAATAAAAACATTCAAATTTGTAACATAATAATAAATTATATATAATAACACGTAATTGCGTTATGTTTTAACTGAATAAATAAAAATTCAAGCAAATGTGTCTCTTTTTTATATTCACAAGTGTGCGTTCAGTGGGTCTAATTTTCAGCCTCGTTATTATGACTTATTGTCTGCAATACTAGCAATATCAATAGTTACGATACTAGCAACATTACTAGTTAGGCTGCCTCAGTAACACAGCAAGAACCGTCTAGAGAGAGGGAGACAGAGAGAGAGAGAGAGATAGAAGTCCAAGAGATGACCCATGTTGCCTCGACCAGGAAGGTGTGGGCCGCCGCCTCGAGGCCAACATCTTCACTACGACATAAGCTCTGACCCAGACCTCCAGCTGTGGCTTAAGATGGAGGAGAAGAACACTCGGGTCAATATGACACATTTAACGCAGTAGTCAACAACAGACCACCGTGGGTAACTTATCACTCGTGCCAACACGGTGGAATATATAAGCTTTTCTACTGCTGACTTTAAGGTAAGTTTTGTCCACTGTTGTTTTGATGAGAAGCTGGTCACATTGGTTAATGACTGGACAACTGAGAGTTCCGCATTTATGTCCGTTGGATCCGACCTTCAACCGATATTATTTGACTTTGATAATTTACGAGAAATAATATTTGACAGAGAACATGAAACAAAACAGAAGAAAAACTTGTAAATTCACAGTAAATATTATCAATAAAATTATACATGTGATGATTTTTCAAAAAAGTGAAATTACATTTTTTTAAATAGTAGAAATTGTAGTATTTCAGTATTCACAGATTGTTGAGTTTCTCTGTTGCAGACAACCGGGAGGGAGGTCGGCCGAGCGGACAGCACGCTGGACTTGTGATCCTGTGGTCCTGGGTTCGATCCCAGGCGCTGGCGAGAAACAATGGGCAGAGTTTTTTTCACCCTATGCCCCTGTTACCTAGCAGTAAAATAGGTACCTGGGTGTTAGTCAGCTCTCACGGCCTGCTTCCTGGGGGTGGAGGCCTGGTCGAGGACCGGGCCGCGGGGACACTAAAGTCCCGAAATCATCTCAAGATAACACCGCATTGTGTCCTCGCACACCTGCTTAGAATCTTCGTTCACTTGGCATGGCACTTCATACACCTGTATCGACTCTCCACACACCTGTATCAGGTGATGACCAAACCAAAACTCAGGAAATGGAGAAGCAAAGACGTTTCGGTTCCGTCCTGGACCACAATCACGTTGAGTTGATAATGGTCCAAGACTTGATAATGGTCCTGGACTTGATAATGGTCCTGGACTTGATAATGGTCCTGGCCTTGATAATGGTCCTGGACTTGATAATGGTCCTGTACTTGATAATGGTCCTGGACGGACCGAAACGTCGTCGCTTCTCCATCTTCTGATGTGTGGTTTGATCATCATTTCTCCAGCAACGTTATTGTGACTCATCATCTGCACACCTGTATCAAGCCTCCCCACACCTGCACTGTCTCAATACATCTGTGTTGAGTCTCCACAGGCCTGTATCATATGTCCACACACCTGTATTGACACTCCGCACACCTGTTCTACCTCTCCAAACACCTGATCTGTTCTTAACACAGTTTGACATCACAAATACCTTATAAACAACTAGGTGAGACCAAATTTATTAGGAGAGGTCTTCTTCAGTAACAAATTGTAAAAGCAATTTGGATATAAATATTACTGAATCTGGTTTAATACCAATAACAAAGACATTCAGTTTAATACCAATAACAAAGACATTCAATGCGAATATTAGTAATGGTTTGTCCAATTTTGGATCATTTTTTAATTGCTCAATTAAAAAATTATCTTCGCAAGATGATTAATACTCAGATATCTCATTATTTCTGTATATCTGCACAATCACATATCCCTGAGCCGGATTTCCATCCTGGATGACAACTCACACAATACCAACACGATAAAGCAGTGACGACCGTGACGGTGTGAGGAGGAGAGGCCCTTGTCGCTCTGCGTAGACACGACGAAGGGGACGTGGACGACGCTCCTGGATAGTACAGTACGCGTCTGAATACTGAAGGGACGCACCTGGATAGTGGGACGTACTTCTGGATATTGGATTGGACGTCTCGATAGACACATTTTGTGTCTATATTGGATACTCATGTACACTGTAGGATACGTTTTGATAGTGAAGTGGATATCAGGATAGCGTGGTGGTATAACGAAGCGGATAACTGGATAACGGAGAGGACTCAGGATTACTAGCATGAAGCACATACAGTGAAACAAATCAAGAAAGCTGAAGTGAATTATACTTAAAGAAACGTGTACTCAACGAGACTTTTGTTTTGACAAATAAAGAAGGAAAAGGCAATTCCCGATAATTATAGTGAAGGAGACGACAACAACAGTGAAATGGGCGACAAAGTGATACTCGCTGTGTTTGTTCTCTCTTTTCTTCTGATGTTCACCACAACTAGTGAGGGTAAGAGAGAGAGAAAAAAATGGAGAGTTTGATATATAGACTCAAATAATATATATTACTAATTAAATGAAAATCCCAGTGGTTAACTTGACACCACTCCCACATATGATGCGGCCCCATACCACACAATGTGGTCAAACATATGACCATCACACCACCATCCTCACCATGATTAATCTCGTCGTCCAGGTCATACCCCTGCATATAGTCTCTGTCCTCACTGTCATTACTCCCATTATCACTATAACATTTTTGTCCCCCATGGTGTCTACCATTCCACTTCCCTACAGCTTCTCCTCTCACCATATCCATGGTAAGATCAACACTATAGTTCTTGAGATGACCCAAGATGGCTCTTCCAGGGAGCTGTGGGCCGTCCCGTCGAGGCCAACACCTTCACTACAACGTCAGCTCTGACTCAGACTTCCGGCTGTGGCTTAAGATGGAGAAGAAGAACACTCAGCTTATTCCTACAGTTGTCGCACTGATCGACAATAGGCCTCGAGGGATATCTTTTAACTTTTGGAAAATTTTGTCTAATACGGAGAAATATTTAAGCTTTTCTGCTGCTGACTTTGGGGTAAGTTTTGTCCACTGTTGTTTTGATGAGAGACTGGTCATATTGTTTACTTACTGGACAGTTGAGAGTTCCCAAATTTTTGTGAACTGGAATCTTACCATCAACCGATTTTGTTGGAAACCAATAGATTACTAAACATATTAGAAAGAATAATACATGAAAATTATTAAAAAATAAAACCAATACAATTGTACATGTGATAGTTGTCCTATCACCTTGAACATTAATTTGACTTAACTTGGAAAATAATGAAGGTTTTGTAGCATATAGATATAACAAATTTATAACTTTATAATTACAGATGTTATCTAAAGCACTCAGCAATGCCATTATCACCAGTGTGAATATTAGCAGCAACGCCTCGATGGAATGGATCTACTTCAAGAACTCTAACAGCTTCCGTAAGTTAAAATGTTCACTTAACCACACAAATCGTTTAAAAGTTTAAACATGTTGTAGTTAATGCTAGTATTAAATAGATCTTTGATTCATATAACTGCATTGAATCTTTTCACACCTGGCATGAGACTATTGCGGCCAACACCAGTATGGAATGGATCTTCTGTAAGAATGCCTTCAATTTCCGTAAGTTAAGATGATCACTTAATCTCTCACAGAACTCATATGAAGGATTAAAAACTTCTATCAATGTTGTGAAACATTTATTTTGTTAACTTTCTTTAATTAACGCAGAAACACCTGCCTTGCGTCGCCACACACCTGTCATTGATTATACACACACTTCAATTTGTCTCCCCATACACCTGACTTAATATTTAATACTTTCTACTATATGTTCCTCCTTTTCTAACACTAATCACCTGAGCTTGTCCTAACAGACAGTTTCACATTTCAAATATCTGTTTTGAGAACCGTCTTATTAACATCAATACCGAATTCCGTTCTTAACACAGCCTATTCGTCACTTTTAAGACCTGACCCGACACCTTTACATCATTCAAACGAATCATAATTCAAAGTCTCAGAGTTTATAGTCAAAATGTGTCCACTGAACCTCAGACATCTTCCAAGCCCTCTCTCAATACCTCATACGACTCTCTGTCTATAACATGGAGGCGATAAAATGTTCAGTTAATCCAGTTCATTATGAAATGAACAGTCTTAGCGTATATAAAGACGTTGGCTTGATCAAGGCAATTACACATATGAACTTGTAACTGTTAATCAAGTCACCATCCTTATATACACATATACGTCCCCAGCCGTCATGCCGGCCTCCAACAACAAAGTGATGACGGTTGTGGTGGTGGTGGTGGTGGTACTGGTGGTTGTGCTGCTGGTGGTGGTGGTGATGCTGGCAGCTGCTGGAGCCTACATACACCGCCTCGGAAAGACTCATAATAAATGTAAGAAATTTCCTATGTTAACTCCAGTGTTCAACTGCCAGTTTGCCTTTAAATTTCATGCGATAGTTCAGGTAATTAACAAGGGTTTTCGGGATGGTGATCTGGTTAATAAAGCTGTTTGTGTCGACAGTGAGCAGCATGACGTAGGCACCAAACCCCAGCTGGCAGTGTGCCTGATCACACTACTTGTGGCACCTCTGTACACAAATATGGTACATCAAAAATGGAATAAAACATAAATTAACATTGAGTCTAAGTGACTTCACTACACATATTACACCCAATCATAGTCTTAATCAAGCTTATTTACATGACAAATTTACATCCCCAGCCACCAAGCCGGTCGTCAACAAAGAACAAGTGGCAGTGTTGGTGGTGCTGGTGCTGCTGCTGGTGGGGGAGCTGGTGGTGGTGGTGGTGATTACTCTTGTCTAACCTCCATCCACCACTCCAGGACGACTCAACCTTAATGTAAGCATATTCCTCTCAATATTTACCATTCCTGGAGTCTTTGTGTCTATCATGTATTGGATCCGGTATTTAACTAGTGTCTTCGGGATCATTATTTGATCAATGAAGCTGTTGGTGTCCATAGTCGTCCTCAGTTGGCCTTGTTGTTCAGGGACAAAACTGTCCATGATCAGCCAAGCTGTGTCAGCTTACAGAACCTGGGGTAACTGACACATGTAAGAACACAAAGAAATAACAATCTCCAGAAGGCATATTGGTAGAAGTAGGAAAGTTGTGTTGACAGAGAAGGCCTGAGTGCTAGTTAGTAGTTACTGTCACCAGGATAGTTACTTTCTTGCCTTAGATGGTCATATAAGAAATCAAACAATATACATATTAATTAAACAAATCAAAGTTTGATCTCATTCTTTGCCGCCCAACCACTTAGGCTGGACGGTAGAGTGACGGCCTCGCTTCATGCAGGGCAACGTTCAATCCCCGACCGTCCAAGTGGTTGGGCACCATTCCTTCCCCCAGGCCCATCCCAAGCCTTAATCCCTTTCCAAGTGCTATATAGTCGTAATGGCTTGCCGCTATCTCCTAATAGTTACCTTTCCTTTCCATATTTTTTTGCAGCTTTCACTGAGTGATTGTCTGCCTCCTGCAGCTGCGCCTCCTACACCACGCAGCGGGGCGCCCCTGCCGGATGGTCTCCAGGATAACATCTACGAGGAGCGACCGCCTGTCGCCGCAGCATCCCGACACAGCAGCTGCACCAACAGCATGTACGGCCTCCCGCTACAGCAGCAGCTGTCCAAAGACGGGAAGTCGGTCTTCCCATCTTCCTATCTGTTAGTTTCTGTTGTCTCTCTGGCACAGCGGTGCACAACAAGAACAGTCCAGCCAGAAGTGTACACGTGTTGAGTCCAGCCAGAAGTGTACACGTGTTGAGTCCAGCCAGAAGTGTACACGTGTTGAGTCCAGCCAGAAGTGTATGGGCGAGTGCAGTCTGGTTGTTGTTGTTTAAGATTCGCTACTTGGAACAAAAAGTTCGAATTAGCACGGCCTATGGTGAGCCCGTAGTGGACTTAACAGTCTGGTAGGAGCGAGGCCTCAGAGGCAGGATCAGGTGTCCGGGTATACAGCCTCCACCAGGATACATTATGTCCATAGTTGTGTCTCCTGTTTTGTCATGTATCTATTGCTCATTTGTATCTCCTGTTTTGTAATGTATTACGCTTTTATATTAACTGTTAAATGCTGTTTTTATTACTGTTTGGTATCTCTCTGGCTTTATATTTTATCTTTTACTGTTTATGGTGTTTTATATAAAAGTATTTGATATTTATGAGTAAATATGATAATTGCTCAGAAAACCAGAGCTCAACCCCCGCAAGCACAACTAGATGAGTACAGTTCTGTTTTGACATATATACTGTATTATTAGCTTCTTGTTAGGCTTAAGGTAATTCAACCTCTGGAGGGTTATTAAGTCCTATCAACCTCTGGAGGGTTATTAATTGCACCACAAAAGTTTACCGACCAACCAGTCAACTTTAGTCCTGAACAGTTTGTTTTAGTCCATGACTAATGTAAACTGTTATTGTATATAGTCAAAGGTGAATATATCTCTTAGTGTATACATCTTACTGTATACTGTATACCTCTTACTGTATATATCTTGTATAATAATGATAATTTGAATTATATATTATTATATTATTGTACAAATTCATAATGTAATAAAATTTACAAACGAAAGTAATTATTAATTCTAAATTCTTTGCCAATAAAGTTGATAAAAGTGAAGGGAAATGGACCAAGTGCGACTCTTGACACTTTTAAAGTTATTTCATGACGCAACTTTAATGGTTATAGACTTAAGTGCTTGAGTTACTGCTGCTTCTACTTTATCCACTAATGATAGTACTTTATGTCCACTACTGTTAGTAGTGGCAGCAGGCTGGTAGCCTCCCAGGGGAGGACTGGACCTTCCAGGGGAGGACTGGACCTTCCAGGAGAGGACTGGACCTTCCAGGGGAGAACTGGACCTTCCAGGGGAGGACTGGACCTTCCAGGAGAGGACTGGACCTTCCAGGGGAGGACTGGACCTTCCAGGGGAGAACTGGACCTTCCAGGGGAGGACTGGACCTTCCAGGGGAGGACTGGACCTTCCAGGGGAGGACTGGACCTTCCAGGGAAGGATTGAACCTTCCAGGGGAGGACTGGACCTTCCAGGGGAGGACTGGACATTCCAGGGGAGGACTGGACCTTCCAGGGGAGGACTGGACCTCCCTGGAGAGGACTGGGAGACCTCCAGGGACTTCCACACACTACAACACAACTCTAAGATTATAATATCATCATTACTATTCATATTGCAATAATATATATAATAATAATTATATAATAATATTACTAGTAACTTTAAAAACTAGTACTGGCGTTAGTACTGGCGTTACTACTGTTAGTACTGGCGTTACTACTGTTAGTACTGGCGTTACTACTGTTAGTACTGGCGTTACTACTGTTAGTACTGGCGTTACTACTGTTAGTACTGGCGTTACTACTGTTAGTACTGGCGTTACTACTGTTAGTACTGGCGTTACTACTGTTAGTACTGGCGTTACTACGTACAACGTTACTGCGTTGGGGCAAACAAATTCTTGTTTGTCCCTAAACAAATTAAAGCAAACATTCTTGACACTTTCCAGCTAAAGATTGACTTAGAAATATTCAAATTCAAATTTTTATAACCTGCAATAAAGTCATATATCAATAACAAAATATATGTACAAAAATGAGATGAAATTTTCTAAGTTTGTTATCAAACGTGATAATGTGACTTTCCAATATATTGTTTAATGAGTTCTCTCCGTTTCTCTGCGCCTTCCACCTGGACAGGTAGAGAGAGACAGTCTCGTTAATAAGAGGTTGGTGTACGATTCCCGACCGTCAGAGTGATTGGGCACTGTTCCTTCATATCCCAGTTTCTTGTACTCATATTTCTTCCTAATGTCACATAACCATGTTGGATTAGCCCCATTTCCAGATAATTTCCACTCTCCTTCCTCTCTCTTTCTCTCCCTTCCTCCTTTCCTCCCTCCCTCTCTCTCTCTGTCTTGTCTCTATCGCTCTCTCTCTTTCTCTCTTCCCCCTCTTTCTCTCCCCCTCCCCTCCCCCCTCTCTCGTTTTTATCTGTGTGCGCTGAATCCCAAACACACTCAAACAGGATTTCCATCCTGTGTGATAACTCACAAAATGTCAACACGATAAAGAAAAATTAACTTGCATTGTGAGGAGAATTCTTGTCACTATACGCAGGGACGACGGTGTGGACACGTGGATAGTCAACCACGCTCAAGGATAGTCCAGTAGACGTCTGGATGATGCAGTGGACACTGCCGGATAGTGAAGTGGACATTGATAATTGGACATCTGGGCAGTGAAGTGGACACCTCGATTAGGAAGTGGATATCTGGATAGAGAAGTGGATATATGGATAGTGATAGTGAAGACATGTTAGCGCTGCGGATGTCAGGATAATGAAGGATGCATCATGACGGCCGAATAGTCTCGGGTCTGACACAAGGGATGACTGGATAACGAAGAGGACTCAGGATTACTTACGGGTCGCAGGAATAGTCAAGTGGATCAACAGAGGACAGTCACTTTTACTACAAGGAAGGTGTACATATCGTCGGATCTGTCAATGTTTGACAAATTAAAAAGGCAAATATAGTCTTTGTGAAGGTGACAGTGATAGTGAAGGTGGCGACAACGATAGTGAAATGGGCGATAATATCATCCAGGCCGTGATTGTTCTTTTGTTTCTTCTAAAGTTCACCAGAGCTACTGAAGGTGAGAGAGAGAGAGAGAGAGAGAGAGAGAGAGAGAGAGAGAGAGAGAGAGAGAGAGAGAGAGAGAGAGAGAGAGAGAGAGAGAGAGAGAGAGAGAGAGAGAGAGAGAGAGAGAGAGAGAGAGAGAGAGAGAGAGAGAGAGAGAGAGAGAGAGAGAGAGAGAGAGAGAGAGAGAGAGAGAGAGAGAGAGAGAGAGAGAGAGAGAGAGAGAGAGAGGAGAGAGAGAGAGAGAGAGAGAGAGAGAGAAAGAGAGAGAGAAAGAGAGAGAGAGGGAGAGAGAGAGAGAGAGAAAGAGGGAGAGAGAGAGAGAGAGAGAGAGAGAGAGAGAGAGAGAGAGGAGAGAGAGAGAGGGAGAGAGAGAGTGAGGAGAGAGAGAGGAGAGAGAGGAGAGAGAGAGAGAGAGAGAGAGAGAGAGAGAGAGAGAGAGAGAGAGAGAGAGAGAGAGAGAGAGAGAGAGAAGAGAGAGGAAGAAGAGAGAGAGAGAGAGAGAGAGAGAGAGAGAGGAGAGAGAGAGAGAGAGAGAGAGAGAGAGGAGAGAGAGACAGGAGAGAGAGATAGAGAGAGAGAGAGGAGAGAGAGAGAGAGGAGAGAGAGGAGAGAGAGAGAGAGAGAGAGAGAGATAGAGAGAGAGAGAGAGAGAGAGAGAGGAGAGAGAGAGAGAGAGATAGAGATGAGAGAGAGAGATAGAGAGAGAGGAGCAAGAGAGAGAGAGAGAGAGAGAGAGACTGATATATAGAGCAAACTAATATATATTACTAATTAAATGAAAATCCCAGTGATAGACTTCACCAACCACTCCCACATATGATGCGGCCCCATACCACACAATGTGGTCAAACATGTGACCATCACACCACCATCCTCACCATGACTATCCTCGTCGTCCAGGTCATCATCCTCCTCAAAGTCTCAATCCTCACTATCATTACTAACATTACTCCCATTATCACTGTAACATCGTTGTCCCCCAATGGTGTCCACCATTCCACTTCCCTACATCTTCTCCTCTCACCATATCCATGCTAAGATCAACACTATAGTTCTTGAGATGACCCAAGATGGCTCTTCCAGGGAGCTGTGGGCAGCCCCGTCGAGGCCAACACCTTCACTACGACGTCAGCTCTGACTCAGACTTCCGGCTGTGGCTTAAGATGGAGGAGAAGAACACTGAGCTTATTCCTACAGTTGTCGCACTGGTCAACAAAATCTCTAAAGGGGTATCTTATAACCCTTGGAAAATTTTGTCTAACACGGAGAAATATATAAGCTTTTCTGCTGCTGACTTTAGGGTAAGTTTTGTCCACTATTGTTTTGATGAGAGACTGGTCACATTGTCTACTGACTGGACAATTGAGAGTTCCCAAATTTTTGTGAATTGGAGTCTGACCATCAACCGATTTTGTTGGAAACCAACATATTACTAAACATATAATACAGAATAATACATGCAAATTCACAAAAAATAAAACCAATAAAATTTTACCTGTGATAGTTGTCATAACACCTTGAACAGTAATCGCTAATTTCTGCAACAATTCCGTTGACAAAATTCGACTTAACTTGGAAAATAATGAAGGTTTTGTAGCATATAGATATAAAAAATTAACAACTTCATAATTACAGATATTATATGAAGCATTCGGCAATGTCACCGTCATTATCACCAGTGTGAATATTACCAGCAACGCCTCGATGGAATGGATATACTGCAAGAACTCTAACAGCTTCCGTAAGTTAAAATGTTCACTTAACCACACAAATCGTTAGGAAGTTTAAACATGTTGTAGTTAATGCTAGTATTAAATAGATCTTACCCTGATTAATACAACTGCTTTGAGTATCTACACACCTGGCATGAGTCTCCATATACATCTCTATTGAGCTCACACACTTGTTTTACAACATCATTTCTGTCAACAATCTATTACACCTGATACACTTCTCTAAACACCTGCGCTTGCACTTAAAACAGAGTTAACATCACAAATATCTGTTTAGGGACCTCTTTAAAAACAATAATACTGAATACTTCAACTACAAGTCATTCGTAATTTAACCAACATTTTGGTATCTATTCAAACACTTCACAATTCAAAGTCCCAGAATTGACACGAAAATATCTCATGTGACCCACACACGTCCTCGAGCCGACCTCAGCGCCTCTTGTAGCCGTATTTAGTTGCTTTGATCAAGCCGCCTATCCTTATACGTCCCCAGCCGTCGTGACGGACTCCAGCACGACAGGAGCGGTGACGGTGGTGTTGGTGGTGCTGGTGGTGGTGCTGGTGGTGGTGCTGGTGGTGGTGGTGATGGCTGGCGGAGCCTACATACACCACATCAGGAAGACTCTCCGTCAATGTAAGCACATTTATATACATATAAACTTCCATTCCTGTTAAATCTAGTTGGATTTACATTCCCAAGTTTTTAATTTCCTTTCGTGTATCTATTATGCGATAGATCCGGTCTTTAACAAGGACCATCAAGATTGGGATCAAGTCAGTGAGGCTGTTGGTGCTGGCAGCCCGGCATATAGGTACCACAACCTAGTTGATCAGGGAAACAGTGTTCTCCATCACTTTAGAATCAGCATCAACGTAAATAAATTGGCCAAGATAAAAAGGGATTTACACAAATTTAAGCCATTGATTTTTATGAAGAAAACCCCTGTAGCATTTGGGATACTAGAGTAGGGGACCTGGGATATTAGAGTAGGGGACTGGGATACTAGAGTAGGGGACCTGGGATACTAGAGTAGGGGACTGGGATACTAGAGTAGGGGACCTGGGATACTAGAGTAGGGGACTGGGATACTAGAGTAGGGGACCTGGGATACTAGAGTAGGGGACCTGGGATACTAGAGTAGGGGACCTGGGATATTAGAGTAGGGGACTGGGATACTAGAAAAAGGGACTGGGATACTGCAATAGGGGACTGGGATACTTGAGTAGGGAGGGACTGGGACTGCAGGGATGGCCGTAGATAGTTTCGGTGGACATTATAACTTAGTAACAAATCCTAACTATTAACACTTTTACCATTGTTACAACATTTACAATAGTTAATATTATTATTATTATTCAAGTGACGATGTCCCAGTTTACGAACACCGCGTTCACCAATGGTCGCAGCTGTCACCGTGAGTACACCCGTGGTGTGTGTTTGTCAGACTAAGTAAGCACGTGTTGTGTGTTTGTCAGACTAAGTAAACACGTGGTGTGTGTTTGTCAGACTAAGTAAACACGTGTTGTGTGTTTGTCAGACTAAGTAAACACGTGTTGTGTGTTTGTCAGACTAAGTAAACACGTGGTGTGTGTTTGTCAGACTAAGTAAACACGTGGTGTGTGTTTGTCAGACTAAGTAAACACGTGTTGTGTGTTTGTCAGACTAAGTAAACACGTGGTGTGTGTTTGTCAGACTAAGTAAACACGTGTTGTGTGTTTGTCAGACTAAGTAAACACGTGTTGTGTGTTTGTCAGACTAAGTAAACACGTGTTGTGTGTTTGTCAGTTGGAGTAAACACGTGTTGTGTGTTTGTCAGACTAAGTAAACACGTGTTGTGTGTTTGTCAGTTGGAGTAAACACGTGTTGTGTGTTTGTCAGACTAAGTAAGCACGTCTTGTGTATTTGTTTTATTTTTATGTTAATCCTTTCTCTCTCTCTCTCACGCTTTCTGTCTCTCTATATATAATGAATGGTGTACAAGTTCCCCCCTGTGTGACTGTCTGGTTGTCTGCCTCCTGCAGCTGTTCCTCCTGCAGCTGCGCCTCCTCCTGCAGCTGCTGCTCCTCCTGCAGCTGCACCTCCGTCACCACGCAGCGGGGCGCCCCTACCGGATGGCCTCGATGATAACATCTACGAGGAGTGGCAGGAGTGGCCTCCAGTGACCACAGCATCCCGACACAGCAGCTGCACCAACAGCATGTACGGCCTCACGCCACAGCAGCAGCAGCTGTCCAGCGACGGGACGTCCGACAGTTAGTTACTGCTGTCTGTCAAGCACAGCGGCACTCAGCAAGAACAAGACTGATTCAACAGCTCACAGCAAAACCGGTTTAGGATATCAAGATAGCCAGTATTGCTCACAAACAACTGTCATACTTTCATTACAATATTAGGAAGAGAGAGTTTGAGTAGCAATTTAGCTAGAGAGAGGGAGAAAGAATTTGATATAAAAACAAGGTAGATGAACGAATCTACAAGACCGGAGCTCTTGCTTCCTGTAATGGGTCGACACCCGCTGCTGAGTCTTCACTTCAGTTTATCGACATTATTGCGAATATATTATTCATTGATGTGCTGTATTTCAACTGTATTCACTTTGTATTATATCTGTAATTATGAATGAATTATTTCTGTGATTATATATTATTACCTTAATTATATTTGATTACCTTAATTATATTTGATTACCTTAATTATATATTATTTACCTTAATTATACGTGTATTATTACAATAATTATGTGTGATCTTAGAGTAATTTTTATGTATTATTTCTGTAATTATATATAATTACATACTGATGAAGAATTATACATCAAATTTACAAGCTGTAATTCTTATGCCAAGCTTCTTATTTGATGGTTACTTTAATTAAGCTTAGTATTATTGACCAAACCACACACCAGAAGATGATGAGACGACGACGTTTCGGTCCGTCCTGGACCATTAGCCAGTCGTGTGTGATGAGACGAGGGAGGCAATAGCATGAGTAAAGCAAGGGAGGGAGGTGTGAGGGGGAGGGAAACCTTAGAGGAAGGTAAGAGTAAGGCGAGAGGGGAATGGGTGTAAAAAAGAGGTATAAGAAGGTAATAAAGGGAGTAAGAATGGGAACGAAGGAAAAAGAAAGAGAAAAAGAATGGGTAGGTTTATTTTAGATCACGTTTGTTAGAAAGTTTAGAACATTTACGTATATACTGTGAAAGGGAAGTGTCCACAGCAATAAAGCCAGGACTCAGGTTCATGTTGGGTAGGTTGTGTATCAGAGCTGAGTCAGCAAGACGGCGTCTGTGTAGAGTAGAGGCAGGAAATATTATTTTAAAATAAGACCAATCAATAGGATGATTAGAGTCCCTAACATGACAGAAGAGAGCATTGTTTGTGCCTGCAGACTTAACACTTCTTTTGTGTTCCTTAATAAGTCTGTCATTTAGTGTACGGCCAGTGTCACCACAGTATTGGAGAGGACAAGACGAACAGGAAATAGAGTAGACACCAGCAGCATTAGAAGCAGGAGGAGCAGTGTGAACTAGATTACTACGAAGAATGTTAGTTTGTCGAAAAGACGAGGTTTATGTCAAGAGGACGAAAGGTCTTAGTGAAAGTATTGAGTTCAGATATGAAAGGAAGGCAGAGCACAGTGGTATCAGTGTTGGAAGCTGGTTTAGGATGAAAGAAATTTTGTTTACCTTGAGAGTTGATAAAACAGGCACAGTTGATAAAATGTAAAGGTTAAACAAGGCGAGAGAAAAATTTGTAGATAACGGAAACTTCAGAATCTAAAAACTGAGGGTCGCTGAGGCGTAGAGCGCGGAGGAAGAGAGAGACAAGGACACTTTTCTTAACAGAAGGAGGATGGTAGGAAAAGAAGTTAATGTACATACATGCCACTATGCATGGGTTCGTGGTACACAGAGAAAGAGAACCCGGACACAGAATTGTATAATTCTTCAGCCACGTTATTACGACTCATCATCTGCAAGCTTAGTACTGTTTCTAATTTAAATATTTAGGGAAAAATGTTGCAGTATTTTATATTTTCTGTTTCATGTTTTATTCTCACACGTGTATTAAGTTAGGCTAATAATATCATATTTCATATTAATTATTATTTGTTGCTTCTGCGTCCCATTATACATAGAAAACGTGGATGTTTGTGAGTCAATACTTTCCATAACACCTTGTAATTTGGACGTTGGAGACCATAACATACATAATGACACGTATTAGTCGAGAGTACGGGTGGATTATACAATGTATTATGTGTCACACCTTTTTTAAATGCAAAATTTCATGAATAAAATATTAACTGAATATTAGTATTTTTAATATTTTAAATTACAGACATTAACCCACCAACAAGGTCCTAACAGCTGTTCTCGTAGTCAGTCCATCGTTACCTGTGGACACCTCGTATCTTAATTAACTCGTGGGTATGCTAGTCCAGCCAAGGACAGGTTGTAATGACCTGTACAGGTTGTGACAGGTCGTGACAGGTTGTGACAGCCTGTGACAGGTTGTGACAGGTTGTGACAGGTTGTGACAGCCTGTGACAGCCTGTGACAGGTTGTGACAGGTTGTGACAGCCTGCCTCAACCTGCTCCAGGCTGGCTCTCAGCAGTGACAGGTAATCTTCCTGGGAGTACTATTTAACCTTTATTAATAGTGGCAAAACAATAATTAAACAGAGAAATCTTACTCGTTCAATATATATATATATATATATATATATATATATATATATATATATATATATATATATATATATATATATATATATATATATATATATATTCAGCATTACCCACCAGACCTCCTGGTCTCTCCTACGTCTCCTGTTCACTTCACAACCAGTAAATATAAACAACACAATTACTCTCACTTCTTCTACGAAATGTATATAGTTATAGCATTTTGATGATAATATTCTCAAGCAACAAATCTTCACCTGACTCGTCTACAGCCCTCGTTAAACGGATGGGGGGGGGAGAGGGGGGGGGAAGGAATGTTACAACACCTACCTTCACTATTTTTAACAGGATGTTGCTATGGCGACGGTCCGGCGTGTCCTACTCCTTCACAAGAGTCGCGGGCACTCCTGGTGCCAGCCTCCATCCTATGACCTGGTGCCATGGGGGGGGGTCATAGGATGGCCTGTGCAGGCGATGAGTCACAATAACGTGGCTGAAGTATGTTGACCAGACCACACACTAGAAGGTGAAGGGACGACGACGTTTCGGTCCGTCCTGGACCATTCTCAAGTCGACTTGAGAATGGTCAAGTCGATTTGTCCTCATTAGTGACTTGAGGCAGTCACTGTAAATGTCTAGGCAGGGAAGCTTAACTACAACCTTCACTGTAGGTTAAATGTGTCCACAACTCAACTGCCAGGCTCTCACTTAAATCTCTCTCATTTCACGGGGAAAAAAAAACCCTGTGGCGTATCAACTACGGTGCTCGGGGGAGCAAGATCGTCACCTACGGTGTGTGGGATGGAAGTAACAACAAAGACAGAGGCTGGAGGGTCGAAGGAGCAAGACCTACGGTGCTTAGGGTGATAGATCATCACCATATACGGTGCATATGTATGATCTCCATCTGTCCCAGTGGTGGAACTCCTGTATCCTCCCCTCCTGTTGAGTACACTGTCTCCATGTGTCCATGGTGGTACTCCTGTAATTGTACCGTTCCCTCCTGGACAGTGTACCGTGCCCTTCTGGTAGAATTAGCGAAATATGACGCTTGAGCGTTAGTTTTGTGCGGAATTCAGGGTGATTGCATGTATTTGGAGTTTTAAATTACGACTTTTTATACCGAAAATATACAAATTAGTGAAAACGGCGATTGGTCAGATTTTGCCCAAATCTCCCTGCAGTTTTTAAAATACGATGCCTATCAATATGCTAAGAGAGAGAGAGAGAGAGAGAGAGAGAGAGAGAGAGAGAGAGAGAGAGAGAGAGAGAGAGAGAGAGAGAGAGAGAGAGAGAGAGAGAGAGAGAGATTGTGTGTGTGTTAACACAAAACACATATACACACATGTGTGTGTGCAACTGTTAGGAGGGACATGATCATCACCTACAAAATTCTCAAGGGAATTGATACGATAGACAAAGACAGTTTATGTAACACAAGGGGCACACACACTAGGGGACACAGGTGGAAATTGAAGTGCTCAAACGAGCCATAACGACATTAGAAATATTGTTTTTAGTGTCAGAGTAGTTAATAAATGGAATGCATTAGGCAGTGAAGTGGTGGAGGCTGACTCCATACACAGTTTTAAGTGTAGATATGATAGAGCCCAGTAGGCTCAGGAACCTGTACACCAGTTGATTTGATAGTTGAGAAACGGGACCAAAGAGCCAGAGCTCAGCCCCCCAAGCACAACTAGGTGAATACAAACACAGACAGGGCCTCGCAGCTGAGTGGACAGCGCTCGGGAGTCGTAGCACTAAATGCCTGGTTCGACTCCCGGCCTAGGCAGAAACAAATCGGCAGTTTCCTTCACCTGATGCATTTGTTTACGTAGCAGTAAATTGATACCTGGGAGTTAGACAGCTGCTGCTTCCTGGGGATGTGTACTTACCTAGTTGTGCTTGCAGGGGTTGAGCTCTGGCTCTTTGGACGTTGAATGTGTGTGTGTATGTGTATGTATGCGAGTGTTAGAGAGAAATATATGTAGGAGACATAACAGATGAAAAAACAAATCGATTAGAAAGGCGAAGTCCAAGAGCTAATAGCCAGATTTTGCCGGCAAAAATAGTAAATACACACACACACACACACACATACATACATACAAAAACACACACACACACACACACACATACATACAAAAACACACACATACACAAGTCACTGAATTGCTTAAACGACTCAACATCATGTTTTGTATGTTATAAATCAACCAATGAACGTCGTCCTTTGAGCCTTTGGATGCACAGTGCACCAACCACCACCACTCCTTTACTTAAACCAACCAATGGGCTCTTCCGTTTAGTGTCTCTACTTACCGCTTTTCCCATTTTTGGAGTTATCCAATGAAAGCTCTCATTAAACCTCAGCTCAAATAACTAGCCAATGACAGCTCACCTTATAGCCTCGGCTGGAAGAATCCGCCAATGATGGCCACCTTTTACCATCAGCTAGGATAAGCAGCCATTAGCGGCCCATCTTTCAACCTCGGCTGAGATAACCAGCCAATGGAGGCCAATCTTACAACCTACAATAGGGTAATAACACAATGAGGGGTCCACCTTATAACCTCGACTTGGATAATGAGCCAATTGTGGCCTTAAAAGGTCGACTATGATAATCCGCCTTACACCCTCGCTGAGATAATTAACCAATGGCGGCCCACCAGACAGCCTTGCTGGGGTAATCAACCAATAAACAGTCGCCTCCCACGCCGTCTTGGCTCCGGTCTCCCTAAGACTAACGACTCACCCAACACCAGGAAAAGCCTGAATTTAGTGAGACTTATTCAGACGTGGAGGTATAGATCACGAAGGAGGAGGAGGAGGAGGAGGAGGAGGAAGAGAAGGAGGAGGAGAAGGAGGAAGATGAAAGAGAAATAAAGCAAGAGAGGAAGGAATCAATGAGAGTGAGAGATAAGTGGGAGGGGAAAGAGGAAACAAGTGATAAAACTGGTAACGAGAGAGTAAGTGGAATGGAGGGAAAGTGGAAAGGGAGAGAAG